GGTATTTGAAGGAAGTGCCTTTTAACCAGTGTTGGAGAATTTTACGCAGAAAAATTGTATATTTTGATAGATATGGTACAGTGATTTTAACCATGTTCAATGTCATTTTAATGGCTACCTATATGTATTGTATGTGTACATGTACATGTATGTACTGTGTTGCCGGTAACCTCGTTACTATGTATAATATGCATATTCTAATGTAATAGTTTTAGATTATTGTTCAAGATTCTAAAAATAATTAATGTCTGCTAGCAAGGGATCTCCAAGGGAAGATGTTTGCTGTGAATTGAAAGACACGTGTTTTATACCTTCTGCAAAACCATCTTTGTTACATGCACGCAATGCTTTTTTTAAGGCTGAAAGTTTTTCAGTACTGTGCCATACATGTTAAATAATTTATGGTAAGGCACTGAATATGCCCTTTCCTCAATTTGTGCTAGGTTTAAAGAAATGGTTATTTAACTCTTGCTTCAGAAGTTTTGGGATTTTTGTTTTCAAAACACAGCAAACACAGCTTCCTTTTTCAGGAGAGGATTCATAGACACATTTTAGATGAAATGTCACTTAAAACTTGTTAAGGCAATGGAAGCAGCAGCCCCTTTTTGAGAATAATTTATCATTCTCCACTAATATTAATACTTAGTCGTAACAATAAAACAATTAGCAAAAGTAAAATTACCATGATTATTACTCTAACATGCACATTTAAATGCTAACAGTTTTATTGTTTTGAATTTATTCCCTTCCCTAACAAATGTGAACATTGGTAACAGCGCTCTGTTAAAAGGAGGGGGGCTACTTCCTTATAAATGTAGAACTACAATATTAATACACTGTTAAACAGATTCATTCTTGAATTCTGCTTTCCCCGTATCTGTGTTGTGCATGTAAGCCTGACACTGCCATTTGTGTGCTGTATATTGTAAACAGGAAGATGCTAAGGTTTTTAAGAGGATGTACATGTACATGAAGAAGGATAGTCTAATGTGCATGGTGAAGGTCTTGTATTTGTACATGGATTATATGTTCAATAAAAGGTGGTTATTTAGTGTTAACCTGTTCTGTGTGTTATGTTTGCCTCGGAGCCTGCATTCCACCAGGACAAGCTAGGTGCTGTGGAACCTCAATGTGTGCATCAACTCTGCATGTGTATTGGGGGAGGGGGACTTACATGTACCACATGGTGCAGGCACTTAGTCAATCAACATGTTTAATTATACTTTATCTAAAACCACATGACTATTTTCAATTATTGCTGATCTTAGTATCAACAGCACCCAAAATAGTGATAAGCATTTACCATTGAAAAACATTATTTATGATGTAGCTCCAAATGTTTCTATGTATCTGACTTACCCTGCAAAGTTGCAATGGTGATTTGATTAGTCTATAGGAAGTAGAATGTTGTAGATACACTTGTTGAACCTATCCACCATATCTTCTGTACCAAAACTTACATATATAATTCGAGAGTTTGAAGAGTGGATATTGCACCGAAATATATTGCACCGAAATACCCATCTTTTATAAAATCTTGTCCCTACCAGCTTACTATATACCATGCACCTTGCATGTGTATCAATATATGAATATAATCTCCATAATATAATCTCCAAATGAGAGGTTGGTCACCCATCATTTCTGGAGTTTAAACACTTCACCAACATTAGCTGCACCTCGAAAAAATTGTATTTGGTTTTTAAATCCATTACACTAGCCACCAAAAAGACTGGCCCTTACATCCCATAGTGTACTGGATATGTCAGCCGCTCTGGCTTCTTCACTACAAGTTTAAGCACATCGACCAGCTTCCTGATCATGGCTTCCCTGGAGTCACCATAGGTGAACACCCAGCAGAAGTGACATCCGGCACTGCCGGTGAAGTTCGTGACCTCATCGTCAGGACCTGCCGACAGCAAGATGTACACATCAGGATCCGACTTCAGCTTTTCCAGCTGTGGAGTAAGAGAAGAGGGCTTTGATGTATTAAATGCTAAAACCTTGCCTAAACTGAATGGATATTTCTGAACAATAGTATGATTAAGTCCAATGGCATGTACTTTTTGTAGACACGCAATGTATAGTTAAAAGCGCTGGATAGTAATAGTCTTTGAATAGGCTCACAGGGCTATTGGAGGATAAGGAACTTTGTGGCTAGTGCTTCATTTGGGCGTATCTGCTACTTCTTATCATCGGTGGCAAAACAGCAAGCTAGAAATGTGGTTCCAAACGTGACTTGAGTCTATATCCCCCGCCTCCTTGACGTACAGCTGTAATTGCTACATGTCACCTACAAATGTACTGTACCTGGTCAAAGTCCATCAGATTTCCGGGCCTTTCCAGCTTGTCAAACTTGACGATATAGGCGCTGGACCACCTCCCCGTCTGGGGTGGTGTTGTGTACTTCATCCCGCGGCCGGCAGCCAGGTACACGTAGTCCTGGTTAGCGTTCTTGTAGCTCTGTCTGTAGCAACCTTGCATCTGCTTGGACCCCCTGGCATTTACCTCACACAGCCTCAGCTGAAGTAAGTAAAAGGACGTGGTCAGTTTTACAGGGATGTATATTTTTTTGCAGAGAATTAAGTATATTATTCAACCTAGCATTGACACTCTAGCACAGTATGCTTCTGAACATTACATAAGGCCGCCTGGCATTTGGCAATGTTTGAATGCCCATTCTTAGCATTTCTATAAGAGAATAGAGATTCAAGGAGGCGCTTCGACATCAATATAGTGACAGGTGTAAAATCAAATTATTGTTTCGACAATGATAGCTCGATTTGCATGCTGTTATAGGTAGGAGTTAGATCAGGACAAATGCGGCAAACCGTTCTCATAGCTGACCGACTCGTATTATCTTTCCGGTCAATTTCTATTATTTCCGCTTCCCGAAGCCTGGTAGAGGCTAATACCTGTCCATCCTTCATTCTGAAGACTTCGATGTTTGTGAAGCAGTTGTTGAAGCCAAACTGGACCATCCTGGTCATGACGCCCATGTAGACATTCCATATCCGCTCCTGTAAGTCTGCCGGCTCGGAGGTCGGAGCGATCACGGTCATGAACTTGGCTTCTTGGTGGTCGAAACGGAGCTCGTCTGTGATCTGTGGAAGTATGTACTACATGTACTCTACTACCTGGTATTGGTACAACAAGGTTTACAACAAGTCTGCTTAGTACTAGGTTACAGATATGAGAGTTACAGATATGGTCTATTGGTGTAGTACAACAGAAGATGGACACTAAGTGGAACACTACAGTCTTCAGAGAACTACAAGCACAACCATCCTGAACCACCTGGAATCCGAGGTCTCGAACTACTACTCTAGTGCGATTGTATCTTCCAACCTCGATAGTTACTTACTGATTGACTACTACCACTAGCCAATCAGGGCCTACCTATCAAGCTAATATAGGCAAACTGCAAATTCCATATGCCATTTATTGTTTAGATATTTAATTCGCCGTGTTAACTTTATATTATCTTGTACCTATTTTGAGTTAATTTGTTTGCTTGTCCCTTAATACATTGCAAGTTAAATGTAAATGTAATAAATGTATGTAAATAAGAGATCGTAAAATTAATAGGATTTGGGAGAGTCCACTAGACAAACCTTCAGGTTTCTTGGGCTCTCCAGCATATATTTGCTTGTATATAATTTCATTTTATACTGTTACTTTTTTATGTGCAAACTGACAATAAACAAATAAAAAAATTTATGGTCTGGCTATTTATTATGCATATCAAAGGTAACGGTCGTTACAAACGCACTGTCCAAGGCACAATCTCTTTGTCCACCACACATCCATCCACGGTATAGAGAGCCACGGCGTCCAAGTACGGCTCCACAATCACAACGTCCCGAAGAGCGAGGGGGTGCTTTTCCACGTCCAGATATTGTTTGAAATAATCCCTAGTTTAAAAAGTTCATGTCATAAGTCTGTCATACCATGGAGGTAAAAAAGAGACTTTTTACCTCCATGGTCATACATATAAGGATCCATATGTATGACAGACTAAGAAGCTAATGCTTCGAAAAAAGACTCAGCAACTAATGCTTCGAATAATAATACTAGACGAGACTATGAATATGAGCTTACTTGAAGAAAGGAGCACTTGGAGAGGACGTGAAGCCAGGATTTTCATCCCTCATTGTCCGGAGGTTGAGCAGGGCGCGTTTCAGGTCTTCCAAGTTCTCCACCTTGGCCACGCCAAACGTGTCAAACGCCGCTGCCGGCTTGACGAACGCCGGTAGACCTGGGGTACAAAAACTTACTTTTATACTCTTCAATCACAGGTTAAGGCTTTGGCTTATTTTTGGCGTGTTTTAGGCGTTTTATCGCACTCTCTTTTTTGTTCTGGTATCGTCTTTTTAACGCCAGCCCAATGGGTTGCAAATGGTAACTGTCTGGCGAATGGATACTGCCAGGCCAATATGATACTGTCTTTACCGAAAGATTTGCTTACTAAAGGGATTATTCCTGTTAATACTAAGTACAATTGCCCCTGTGCCCGTGTGGGGTATAGCCCCTTTGTCACACAATATTGTAGCCTCAGCATTATATCAAGGGCATTGTATAGGGACATATATTTTCGCCATCCGTATTATGGCATGGAATTCACCTCCAGTCATCAACAGAAAGTTTAAAAAAAACTTGATGACTAGTTTTGCGTTTGTCTGCGCCTCCCATACCCCTCACCACGACTCTTTTTCCTTACCAATTTTTTCCAAGGCCCGCTCGGCGTCCTGCAGCATAGTCGGTGAATCCAGGTCCACCACATCGTAGGGGGTCTGGCTTTCCCCGGAGTCCAGATACTGCCGTGTATAGGCCTTGTGGAAAGCCAGGTAGCATGACTCGACACTGGGCCCGGGGATGTGTGGGAAGTCCTTGGCAATGGCGGCGTGCACGAACGTGGAGAGGTCAATGGTGGGGAGAATGATGTTGACATTGTGCTCAGCGACGAGCTGAAAGAATGAGAAGAGAACACAACACTGTTCTCTACTGGTTGTGTAAGAAGAAACTTCAAACACAACACTGTTGTTCTCAACCGTTCTCAACTGGCAAGTTGTTTTGTAAAACAGAGCATGTAGTGACATAGCAATACTACTACAATGTACCTTCACAACAGATCCGAACATATTACACGCTGGTATGTACACATGATAACCTGGCTAAGATCATCCTACAAGGGATGCTGGAAGGGAAACGACGGCGAGGGCGACAGAAGAAAGTCTGGCAGGACAACCTCAAGGAAAGGACGCCCCTCACCGTCCTACTACTTCTGACAGCTGCCCAAGACAGGAAAATCTGGCCCCGACGACTAGTGTCGGTCATGGGACCAGGTAGGTAGGTAGTTATTTGACACATACTCACCTTCTTTACTCGTTGTACGTAGTCCAGGAGTGTTTCTTTCTCGTCGATATTGCTGAAGATCACCTCAGACACCTACACATAAATGTGTATTGAAAGGAGTCAGTATTTATGGAGTCTTCATGGAAATTCATGATACATGGATAATTAGTTGGTATTTGAAAAAAAATCCAGATACTGTGCCACCAAATATACGTTAACTCACACACCTGTACAGAGGGGCATTGACGCAAGGTTTCCTCCTTTTCCTTGTTCTCGTTGGAGAACGGGATAAGCACCGAGACATCGCTGCGTGTTGAAGACATTGTCCTTCGCTTTGATTTAACTTGGTGTTCGGAAGGAAATCTGAATAAGATAGTAGATCTGAAGTAAAACGAAACGATATCAATGATGTTTTAAAGGTTGATCTTAAGTTTAGTTAGTCTGTAAAAAAACTCGATGGACTGAAAAAATGTCGAAATTGGGTAAAATATGAGGGGATATTATCAGTAGACTTGGATGATTCAATGACATTACGATGATTATAGTGGACTGTTTGGGCTTAATTTTACATGGTAGAGAAACTACATTTAGTGAAGTATACAATGTACTACGCTGACTTGCGGTTTGCACAGTTGTCCTGACGTGAAAAATTTATGATTGCTAAAGTGTGTTACCGGGTCTCAAAGGTAACTTAGAAAGCGGTGGGTCTCTCCCGGAAGGATACGACCTAACTCATAGAGTCATATTGGGGCCTAAAGAAAATTCCCCTCTCAGTGGCCCCAGGGTAAATTTTGCCCCGAGTGCCTACTCTGTCAGGAATGTGGTGTATGGCTTCCCCGGGCAAAAGGGAGAGTCGAGCCGCGCTGGGGTCTACCAACCAGGAAACCCTGCTTTAAGAAGAAAACCACGCCTTAAACCCATCGACGTCCTCGGTGCAGGGCTTGTTCAGTGCAATAATAATTCAGCTGACGAAATGGACATTTTCTGCCAGAATTTAGGGATCGGTCTACGTTGGCAGTACCCCCGCGTCCAAAATTGCATAAGAGGGTGAATTTTCTGACGAAAAGTACGCGTGGGGATTTTGAAATTCGGCTTTTTGGGGCTAAACAACTCGGGCTGAAGTTCGTCCACAGTGTTAAGGTTTCAATTGAAATAGGGTCCTCATATTTGTTTTACAATTTTTTACAATTGAGTTACCACGATATACATATAATCTTGGGACCTGCTCACATATTCTACCCTGGAGTTAGTAAATGATCATAAACGAATCACATAGCAACGCAGGTTTCTCCCCTCTCACACTTTCTGTTGAGATACCAGAAAAGTCATGCGGAGAAAAAAATAAACCAGCACCACCAAACTTTGCGACGTAGATAACTGTAAAGAATGAGTACTTCAAAGAAAAACTTACTTTTGTGTTTACTGAGTGTTGCAGGTGACTACTGAGCTGTATAGACCTGTCGAGAGGTACGGATATGTGAAAATACGCGGAAAACTAGGTAATTTGCGATAATGAATCTAATTTGCACAGTCTTACCGAGGTACGCTAAATGCATACATGTATGTGACCAAACGATACGCGAGGTCTTGAGGATACAAAACATGGCGTATTGAATAATGAACCGCTACATTTTAATGCTAAGTGCTATAAGTCCATATATCACAACTATACAATACACTATTCATCTACTGTTAATCTCTGCTTCCCCTCTCTTTTTCTGAAACATCTGTATAATAATTGTACTTCAGGTATCCTTAAGGCTTTGTGAAGAAATAGGTCGGAGAGGGGAAGTTTTAGGGGGTCAGCTAGGTAAGAGCTTGTCGTTTGTGTGCAAACCTGACGAGTAGTACATTTTATAATAATTTTTTATTTTATTTTAATTTAGTAGTAGTCAGAAAGTGTTAAGAATAACCATCGGCATAGAATTCGAAAGTAAATATGTGCATGTGTACAGATGCATGTCCTACCCCATCCAGAAGTTGCCCGATGGATCAGTCCAGGTAAACAAGGCAATTATAAATAATTGACGGGTGACATCACTGCAACCATGCTGCAACATTAACATCACATCTCTGTAGAAAACCCACCCTAAAGTTTCCAGCAGACACACTTGTTTTGCTCTTCGTATGACACCGATGATATCACGTGATAAACTGAATTATATCTCATCGTGTTCGTTTTTAACAAGACACAAGATGAGAACAAAAATAAGGTATAGGAATTCTTCGGACTTACGGGTCTTTGTCCTATTTAACTGACCACGTAAAATATTCATTATAGGTTATACCACGCCGATACGTTGTATTTACCTATCAAAACAGAGATAAATTCTTTTGAAAATATAAGTCATAATGAAGTAAGCTTTGTCAGAAAATAAGCACCAGGAAGTAGCTAGAACTTTGCAACTTTGCTGTAAACCCATGATTAGCCAGGAGTGTTATAATCCAGGCTATTGTTTACATTAGCACATGATAGAAACAAAACAGTATCATCTCCAATCCTTTTGTTGTTAAAAATTTTTGTTGCTGTCGTTTTTCTCTCTCCAAATGCAGTATGGTGAAGTAAGGATATGGTAAATTCAATCATTTGCGAGTGTGTACAACTAGTATGTAACGGCTTTTTTAAAATTGGCCTTTCCGATGTTCATACAGTTATCCTGTGGTATACCTTAGTATCCAACTGTCCACGGTATCGCTGTGGACAGTGACTAAATACGTAGTCATTGTCACGCTCTACATCTGCTTGGAGATGACGTCAGTGTTCATCGGAGCATGTACCGGTCGGACAGGTTCGACAATGGGGGAGACAGGGCAGAGGTCAGAGCAGTGTGTGTGAAGTCGTAACGATACATAAAAACAACAAAGTTCGTCCCTGAGATTCTTTGGTTCAGGAGACACAAGACCGGGTCTTCACGTAAAATTTGGTATGTTGGAGGACTATTTAGAGTTGTAGATGTTGCGAAAACGCCGGCCAAAGGCAAACTGCTGATGTGAGGTATTCAACTTTAAAAATGCATGACTTGGAATGGTACGACATGTTTTCTAAAGGCTACGACAGTTCACTACATTTTTCATGATAGGACAGTTGAATTATCTATGATACGTGTATGAGGGTCCTGAGATTGTCCTTAAGTTGCTGTTGTAAACCTATCGTACGATGAACGTGACCTTCACCTAATTAAAGCGTAGATCCAACAAAAGACGGAACACCACTGCGAGATTCATTTCCACACAGTAAGGCATTACAAATGTGTGCAGGCTATCCTTTCAATAATTCTTCTTTTACGACTCTTACCAATATTTTTACCAAATTGAATGTTCTTCAAATGAATAAAACGTTCAATTTTATGTTGGTCCGGCTACAGGACAGAGAAGAAAGAAACTGATTTCGACGATGCTTCTGCTACGAGTACAGAGAGGCAGGTTGCGGTCCTTCTTTTGGGGCACAGTGTTTATTTCGGTAATGGCAATCATATCTACAGTGTTCTATGGAAGGCATCGTATGGTCGTGAATCCACGGGCAGTATCAGAGACTGAAATATCTCAACAGACACAAGGTGATTCACCAGCCCTTCCTCGGTATGAAACACCCTGGATGAATCGTGTTGTTGGAACACACAGAAATTGCCACCCAAGGAATAACTTCATTTTTATCAAGATTCAGAAGACAGGATCCTCAACAGTCACTAACATGTTGCAACGATACGCTATAGACCGCGAACTCACGGTTATGGTGCCTACTTGTACAATGTGCGCCTTAAGTTGGCCCACTTCCCCCGAACGTGGAATGTACCTACAGTCTAAGAACGGAAAATACAGTGCTATCGTTCACCACACAAGATACAACAAAACTTGGATGGAGTCTATGTTTCCTTCCGACACCGCTTACATAACTGTAATTAGAGAACCATTTGGTCATCTTAAGTCAGTTTTTAATTATTACCATCTCAGTGGAAAGCTGCTTCAGAGAAAGGTGAAGAGACCTGGAGACGAAAATCCCATCCAACTGTTTCTCAAAAGCCCCTTTGAGCACAGATATGTGATAGGCTACAAACATTGCGAGGTTACTTTTGAAAGGACGAGAAATTTCCAAGCGTTTGACTTAGGGTACAAACAAGAGTGGGCCGATGACGAGGGGAAAGCAGAACGGTTTCTTGCGGATATAGAACGAGACTTCACGTTGGTTATGATCTTAGAACACTTCGACGAATCTCTAGTGCTGTTACGAAGGCTGATGTGTTGGGAACTAAAGGATATTCTCTACGATAGCCGACCTAAGAAACAGAGGTCCTATGCGTACAAAGATTACAAACCTTCGGATGAAGAGCGAGGTAATCACGAAGAGTTCAACAAGGTGGATTACATGCTGTATGAACACTTTAATAGGTCCTTGTGGAATAAGATAATTTCTGAAGGACCCGCGTTCTTTACCGAACTAGAGTACTACAAGCAACTGAATAACAACATTAGCAAGCATTGTTCTGATAGTCAGGCAAAAAGGGGAAAATTGATCGTTCCCTCGTCCGAATGGACTACGGAATTTCATGTAAGTGACGAATTTTGTTACCGTTTAAGGACGAAGCGAACGAAAAATTTGGATGGGCCGCTACGTGCACATTTGGTAAAGAGCGAGAGAAAACATGTTTTTGGTAGGTGTCTACCGATGGACCAGTACGTCGTTCTGAAAGGCAACACTATAGCTACATCGCCGTAGGAAATTTTAAACGCAAAGTGAATCTACCCGAGACCATACTTAGGCCACACCGAATTAATTTTATGGATGACATCCTCTGAAGACCAAATAACAAGACTGGCAATTAAAACATATATTGTCATGGCTACGGTATTTGTTCATAGAGTTATTGTTTGCATGGCACTACAAAATGTAACATGATTTTTTGCGGAAGCCTCGTTGTGGTCTGTCATGGGTTTGCAATGTTAAAAATAACATTTGAGGTCGCAAGGCTCTGGGAGGGTTGGGTCCCCTTCTTTTCTTGTTCGTCTTTGACGATGCCATGAGACAAGCGTCCGTTGGGCGCTGGAAATATGTGGATGATTTATCCTTGCACAGATACAACAAGCCTTCGGTGATGCAGATGGAGCTAATCGAAATTCAAGACTGGTCCTTTCACAATCACATGACGTTAAAGCCGGACAAATGCAAAGCAATTGTAATCTTCTTCATAAAATATCCACCCCCGCCTCCAGTCCTCACCATCAACCAAACGCAGCTAGAGGTGGTTAGTGCCACATGTCTGCTCGGGGTTTGGATTCAAAAGAATCTGAACTTCGGGGATATGCACGTAGACAAGACCGTCAACAAGGCTAATGGACGGCTGGCCATGCTACGCAAAATTAAACGTTTCAACCTAGCCTGACTAATTTTTGTCCCCCACCACAAGGCCGGCAGGTGTGCGATTTACTAAATCCCAATTATTAAAATTGGGGTGGGGGAGAGCTTGTGTAACACAGGCTAGTTTCAACCTATCCACTGAGGACTTACTTCAAATATACATAACCTACGTTAGATCAGTACTGGAGTACTGCGTGCCAGTGTGGCACTCTGGCCTTACTGCAACACAAACCGAGAGATTGGAAAGCGGAGAGCAACTACGCCACACCATTCTTGGCATGACTTACATTGACTACCAGACCGCTCTGCTCTGCTCAACAAAGGCCTGAAGTCACTCCAAGAACGACGGGTAGATTTGTGCCTGAAATTCGCCAGAAACCTGAGTCCAGAAATGCTTCACCGAGAACTGGAGACAGCCACAGCATCACCACCAGAAACTCTGATAAACTCTTCAGAGGACAGCATCCATAAAATCAAGCCATTGTGGCCTGTTCCACATGACCAAACAAATAACCTATAGAAACGACACTCCTTTGCGCACTACAATAGCTAAGCGTAACACCTTAACACACCTTATATATAATACATACTTAGGGTCTTATCTGATAAGTTTGTCACAACAGAACAACAGAAAGCCACAGGATATCAAGCTTAGGCGTCCCCGTTTACTATAGATAACGTGTTGAAATGACACGCCTAGCTTAGTTTGACTTTTAGCAGACAGCTTTTTCAACATACAGACAACGGACCACAAAA